TCTACTATTTCATAAGAAAAAATAATAATTTATTTTTGGAAAATTCTTGGACCCTGTGGACACGTCTCAGATTTTGGGTCTGGACCCTGAAAGGGTTAATGGTCCATGTTAGACCAAAACATCATCATATGTTTCAGTCTCCTATGTGCAGGTTATTTATGTACTTAGAAGCTGTTGACCATCTCCACTTCATTAAATGTTGAGTGCGCATTGGTAATGTTCAAAACACCTAACAGTGCTTCTAGTAGTTGCCTTGGTTTTTAGATTAGCAGGTTTTGCTTGTTTTATTTTCGGACTAACCATATACAGTTTAACCCTTTGACTGTCGCAGCCGTATATATACATCTTACGAGGTACCGTGTTTGACGTATATATACTCATAAATTCTAGTGGCTTCAAATCAAGCAGGAGAAAGCTGGTAGGCCCCATGTGAGAGAATGGGTCTGTGTGGTCAGTGTGCACCATATAAAAAAAATCCTGAAGCACGCAGTGCATAATGAGAAAAAAACTCCGACCGTTTTTTTAATTAAAATGCCGACTTTGTGGTCTATTTTCGTATAGTATTTATGGTTGTATTCTCGTTTTCTTGGTCTCATTTGATAGAATGGAAAACATATTATAGAAATAGAGGTGATTTTGATTGATTTTACTATAAAAAGAACCTTGAAATGGAGCTCAAAGTAGGGGAAATGTTTGATTTTTGCCAATGTTCAAAAGTAAACAAATGGTGTCATTGTCCAATAAATGTCCAACTAGCCATTCTAATATGCAGTCATGAATGGGTTGATGTTATTTATACAATTATTACAGTATTGCAGTAGTCTGCATAATAGTAAGTCTTCTATTTTTTGTTTGAATAAAAATTCAAAATAGAAAGCAAGAGTAATATCAGAGGGGCCTGGAGACATGACTGATGAACAAAGAATATGTTATTTTAGAGCCAGGAATGTCTGCATTGTTCATTCTGGACCTTATTTTGAAATTGTCATATTTTTTTAATTCTTGTGAAATTGGCCAAATTGCAAATTTTTGACCACATTATTGGGTAGTTGAAATCGGTAAATGGGCAGTTTCTTGTACTCAATCGATAGAAAAAATAGAGTTCTAAAGAAATAGCTATGAGTGGTCGACAGGAACAACGGAATTAGCCGAAAATAGGGCTCAAAGTGGGCAAAATCGCCGATTTGTAAATATCGCCTGAGGTCGCTAACTTCGCAAGAGCATAATTCCGTCAGTTTTCCATCAAATTTGTTTTTTTGGTATCATTACAATCGGGAAAAGATTCTCTATCATTTCATAAGAAAAAATAATTTTTTTTTTTTTTGAAATTTTGCGACACCAGGAAAGACCTCAGGATTGGGGGTTGCAACAGTCAAGGGGTTAATTGCTCTGGGGATCATCTCCAGTTTGGCTTTGTCCTTGGTCTGAATTGAAAAATATATGATAGATAAAAGGACAGAAGTGCAACTAATGTGACATTTTATTGTGGCAATGTTTTGCTCTCCAGGAGCTTTATCAAGCTGGAATAATAACTGTTAAGAAATAAGTGGAAAAGTGAAGATAAGTGTATAATGATTGTATGTAGAAGTATATAAAATTTATCTGTCATGTGTTTATGAGACAAAGAAACGACCAGCAATCCTGCCAGAGTGCAAAACATGTAGGTAAAAGAGGATTCTGTTTCACACATATGTAACAGGACAGTAGTAACTCCCTGAATGGTTGCTGTCTGCTAAATGCTTAAAGAGAATATGAATTTATTATCAGAGACATAGTGGCAGTTAAAAGTAGGTTGAAGAATGGGGGGAAGTACAGTACAGTACAGTGCTGTACTCAGCTGAAGGAAAAGGGGACGTGGAAAGATAATACAGTGGAACTTCTACTTGTGAGCGCATCCACGTGTGAGTTTTTCCAAATACGAACAGTCGATGGGTCGAATTTTTGCTTCCATACGCGAGTGAAATTTCTATAAGTGAGCGGTCCTCAAGGGAGGTTCGTTGATGCTGGTGAGGGGCTCTTGCTCTTGATCTAGGGAATTGGATCTCATTTGTTTGTTGGACTATCTTATTGAAACTTGGGCAATGTATGATGGAAAGATGCTTCTTAATGTACACCAAAAAATGAAAGAAATCGCAGCATAAATAATGGAGTTCACTTCTCAGCAATTAGCCACCCCTTAGTGGTATTTTCGTATGGTTTTTATGGTTGTATTCTTGTTTTTTTGGTCTCATTTGATAGAATGGAAGATATATTACAGAAATAGATATGATTTTGATTGCTTTCACAATGAAAAGTACCTTGAAATTTACCTCAAAGTAGGAGAAAAGTTTTCAATTCTTTGGGTGCGTTCAAGAGTTAACAAATGACATCACTGTCCATTCCAATATGCAGTCGTGAATGGGGTGACATTGTTTATACAATTATTGCAATAAGGCAGTAGCCTGCATAACAGTAAATATTTTTTTGTGTGAATAAAAATTACAAATTATTTATATTGTAATAATAATAATAATAATAATATAATAATAATAATATGTATAATAATAATATAATAATTATATATGTATAATAATAATAATATATAATAATAATGCACTATATAATAATACATAATTATAATAATACTGTACATGGCTTCAAAAGGCTGTCACTAGATGGTAGTGTTTACCACAACAAAGAGGAGCAGTTGTAGCTACCTCCACCTGTTACATAATGACATATTTTATTCATTCTAGACTCTAGAGTATATATCAGGTTTCTATATTATTTATATTGTTTATTATGTCATATTAGATGAACTGTGATAGATAAATAAGCCGTAGAGTTGATAATAGCGAAATATTCAAGGAGTATTTTGTCTTGTCTCCAGACAAACTCTTGTTGGCCGCCGACGCCGCCACATATATAATGACATTTTATTCATTTTAGAGTATATATCAGGTTTCTATGTTATTTATATTGTTTATTATGTCATATTAGATGAATTTTGATAGATAAATAAGCCATATAGATGATATTAGTGAAATTATTCAAGAAGTATTTTGTCCGGTCTCCAGACACTCTCACCCGCTGACGATACCACTACATGAATGACGTTTTATTCGTTCTAGAGTATATATCAGGTTTCTATATTATTTATATTGTTTATTATGTCATATTAGATGAATTGTGATAGATAAATAAGCTGTAGAGTTGATATCAGGGAAATTATTGAAGCGCAGAATTCCACCGGAATGGATTAATTGCATTTCAGTTAATTTAAATGAGGAGAATTGACTCTGCAAACGAGCAAATCCAGTTGCGAGCAAGGTCACAAAACAGATTAAACTCTCAAGTAGAGGTTCTACTGTACTGTGTACCCTTGGGATGCATCATGTTCTAAGACCAGCTATTACCTACAGGCCTGTGCTGGATATTATACCTTGAAAAAGTGTTTTGTTGTACAGTATATACTTACCGTATAGGGGTCTTCATACTACAAGCAATGGTGCTTAAGAAATGAGGCTTATAAGAGCAAATAATTGTATTATGAACATCTAGAAGCAGTTCTGAACATTGTGACCGAGTGCAACCTTTAAGCCAGATTCCAAAAATTAGTTTCCCCATTATTTTCTTTTTTTGTGAATGCGCTGACTTTTTTAATACAGTTTTTAATTTTAGGAATGTGTGGGGAGTTCACATTTGTTTGGCAGATTTTAGTCAAGAATTATAAAATTAATTACATCTTTTGAAATCTGAATATTATAATTTTTTTTCAAAGTCCCAGAAACCATTTGCTTCCACTCACTTCTATCTAACTTGCTCACACATGCCTGCTGGATGTCCAAGCCCTTTTCACACAAAACCTCCTTGACTCCTCTCCCTGCATCCTTTCCTAAGATGCCCCCCACCCTGCCTTCACTCCACTACATATTTATAACCCTCCAAGTCATCCTATTTTGTTCATCCTCTTTAAATGACCAAAACACCTCAGCAACTCCTTCTCAGCCCTCTGGATAATACTTTTAGCAACTCTGCACCTCCTCCTAATCTCCAAACTACAAATTCTCTGCATGATATTTACAACACACATTACTCTCAGTCACGACATCTCCATTGCCTCCAGTCTCCTCACTGCAACATTCACAACCCAAGCTTCACACTCATATAAGAGTGTTGGTGCCACTATCCTCTCATACATTCCCCTCTTTGACTCCATGAATAAAGTTCTTTGCAGGGAAGTGCTAAATCCTTAAGGGTTATAGAGAGCCTGGGAAATGAGATATAACTAGGTTCAGTTGAAAGAATGGAAGGATAGCATTAATTCCATGGCTAAAGAGCCCTTCACTGGCATCAAAGCAGCCTCCTCTTACCCCATGAAAAAAAAAAAGAGAGAAATGAAATAATGGTAAAGACTGGTTGGAAATCTTATTGAAAATAACAAAAATTCTTGGAAAGAAACAAGGTGAAAAACCAGGGCATAAATAGATTTATGTTAGGAATGAAAGCATTGATATGCTGGATAAGGAGAGATGGGGAAGAATATTTTGAAGTGATGAATGTAGATGTCAGTATGGAGACAGCATTATAATGCACAAGGCATTTATAAACAAGCATTATTTGTAGAAGGGAGACTAGGAGGAGGGAGACACTGGAAGAAGGTTTGTAGGAATCATTTATTAATTATTTAACTTTTTATGTTTTACAGCTTTACATTTGCTCAATATCCTGTATGCAATTTAAAATACAAAAACCATTGCAGTATTTACTGTAATTTGTTAACCTACCATTTAATGCAAATTTTGCATATAAAATGATCTTATTTAATATTTGGCACCTATCTCTTAATACAATGGAATGGTCACCACAGTCATATACAACATCTTAAATTATTCAGAGCTCTCTCATAAATATTCATTTTCAGCATACTATTTGGAATTTTACACTATTCCAAGCTTTAATTTATATAATTATAATTTTCTAATATTTTTCAGCATTTTAATTGCATATTGTCTTTGCAGGCCCTAGATGTTTTGGCTGGAGTAGCTCGAGGCATGAGTCACCTAGCATCACTTGGTGTGGTTCATGGTCAACTGTGTGCTAGGAATGTGGTACTTGTGGATGGTACTCACCCAAAAGTTACTGGATTTGGCCTTCTTCATTACCATAATGATCTATATGTGCCAGATTACAGGCGGTGGCATGCAGTTGAAACTTTACGAACCAAGTTGTCAGTATCAAAGAGTGACACTTGGTCATTTGGCTGCCTGATGTGGGAAGTTACAACTCTTGGTGGAACTCCCTATGCAGACGTACGCACTGAAGATGTTGTTGGCAGAGTAATGCGAGGACTCCGGTTATCTCAGCCTCAGTATGTTGGTGATGAATTGTACCAGATGATGCTTGACTGCTGGCAACAAGATTTAGATGAACGTCCTACATTCCCTGAGCTTGAAGACAGTCTGCAAAGGTTGGCCAATGATGATATAACCCCCCACCTTTTGTTCTCTTTGTATCCATCATTTCAGTATGAACTGTATGCACCTCATCTAGAGTTTTTGGATTAAACTCCTCAGATAAATATTGAGTCATGTACCAATTAACTTTCAAGTTTTTAGACTCTTGACTTGCCAGGTGTATTTACACATTCAGTTATCACTGTTCATTTTGTGAATTGCTTGGTGGGATGAAGTGCATGACGTATGTCCCAAAAACTGTCCAACAATGTTATCGTAAAATATAGTACAGTGTTCTTGAATAATTGTGGATTATTCATAAATATTTTAGCCAAACAATGAAATATTGTGCCAAGAAAATGGTATTACTTTGCACATGTTTTTGTACAATATCTCATCACAAGGATTTTTTATTTTCAGGTCAAATATAGTTTTATAAACTTAGCAACTTAAGTCAATATAATTGCTACAACTTAGTTATGAATCTTGTAAATATCCTGTACTGTTTATGCGGGTCAGCATTGTAGGTGGTTCACACTCCTTTAGAGATTTATCATAGATAACAAGAAAGAATTGTGATGGAACTTGATCATCATCTTGTAACAGACTGAAGGTTAAACCTATTTTAGCTTAATTTTGTCTTTTTTTTTTTTTTTTTTTTTATATTTGAATTTTCAATATTGAATTTTATGAAATGATGTATATTGTAAGGGAATTAGAAATAGCTTGCCACTATTCAGGTACTTTCAGCTAATGGAAGCTTATTCTCTTTTCTGTCATTCTACATTAGTGATATTTCAAGTTTGTAGCATAAAAAAGAATGAAGCTTGCATTATTTGCACATAATATTAATAGATAAAAATTAATCCTACTGATCAAGTTCAACATAAAAAATTAGGTAATAAATGAAATGGTTATTATTAGATTTCAATAATGTTTGAGAGGCTCAATCATTTTCACCCACTACATAGGTTGTATTGTAATGAGTTATTCTGAAGCATTGTTGCTTACTGTAAAGTTTGTCATTGGATGGACTGCCATGTGGATATGGCAATAGTAGTTATAAACAAAATATTGTAACTCGTAAAAACAGAGGTGGTACCAAGGGGGAGGGGCTTGGGGGTGACTTAGCCACACCCAAAAAAATTCCCTGAGCTCCGAAAGCCCCCTTCAAATAAAAATAGTGATAATAGTATTAAAGCTGCTTCAAAACAAATCTTCTAGCTCTCCCTGCCAGCCAGATAGCCACTCCCCAGACCCTCCCACCCCATGTATAGAATTCTGGTGTTGCCCCTGCATAAAAACTGTAGTTTAATATAACCAATCCATATTTCATTGGAAATATATTTAAGGACAAGTACTGCCAATTTTTAAAAATAATTTTAAGTTTTGTGTGTATTTTATACAAGTGCAGTATATAAAGCTTTAAGAGAATTTGGCAAAGCATAACTCAGATGTTTGGTCACAAATCGGACAACTTGCCCTTATAAGACACTGCAAAAGCAGCTGTATGGTGTTAATGTATGGTTATACTACCAGTATATTATTCAAATAATGTAGAAATGTTAGATGGTGTGAAAGAACATTATGTACTTAATTATCATGTATTAGTGTATACATGCAGCATGCATGCTGCAAACTGAATACTTATTTTTTTATGTAAAACAAGCAAAAAATATTTTGCTGACATTCCATTTTTTGTACAGTGAACACTACTACCTAACTGCATCCCTAAGAACAAGCCTGGTTGTCATTAGCAGAGGCATGTACAATGTATGTGTTTATTTAAATCCATCTCAATAATTTTACTACCATGTGGCATGGTTGAGGATATTCCCACTTCTTGAGTATTCATTGATTTGGTTGACAAAGATAAAGTTTTTAAAAACAGTGATTGATGACAGCCTTAACCAGATCATAGAAGTGCATCTGATGTTTTACCAGATGATCGATGTGCACTGGACTGCTCAAACACAGTTAAAATCTCTTCCTTTTTCAAGAAAACAAATGACAGGACTGAAAATCATGTGCCATCCTTTCAGTCTGCAACCTTCTCTATACCCTCCCCAAATTGTATACTATTCTCATTACCACCAACACATTAGGTAACATATTAGTTTTATTTTTTATTATTATTTTTTTTTTGCTTCCAGCGTTGTAGTCGCCTCTTACAACATGCGTGGGTTATGGAGGAAGAATTCTGTTCCTTTTCCTCATGGAGTTATTTGTTTTTCTTGTTTTTAATATACAGTGGTACCCCGACTTTCGTTCAACTCCCAACTCGAACAATTATGTAAGTTCATTATTGTAAGTGCTTTTGTGAGTGTATTATTGGGGGTCTGAAACAGACTGATCTAATTTACATTATTCCTTATGGGAACAGATTCGTTCGGTAACGGCACTCGAACAGCCTTCTGGAATGAATTATGTACAAAACTTGGGGTACCACTGTAATCGCTTCTGTGACTTTTTTATTTATATATATTACTGTTAGTTGTTCAGTGCTATGTGGATTTTGGGTGAGAGATCTCCAGTCTCTACCAAAATTAACTGTGTACATGGTATCTATGCATGATGAATTCACATGTTGGTAGCAGATTTTTTTTGAGTGTATAATGACATTTTTTGCTCTTTATGCAAAACATATGGGTTTCATATAATGTACTTATTAAATATTATCAACTGCTGTGTCAGGAAAGCTAAGTTTATTTGATTTAAATGTCTAAGCACAATGTTATTGATCTCAGCAACGTTGAATTGGCTGTGGCTTATTTCTGTGACGGCAAAGTCAGACTATGCATATTACCAAGCCATTTAAAAATTGTGTTACTGAATCTCATGTTAAATTTCCATCAGCTATGTATATTAGCTGGTTATATTGACAAAGGATTACGAGAGTGAATCTCATTTAAATGCTAACTTCTACATTCTGACCATTTTGCATATGTTGAGAATCCATATACTAAGTGGGATAAGGGACTTAGTACAGGAGGGCCTCTCTTTACAGTGCTTTGCTTTGTGGTAATTCACTAATATAGCAGTTTTCAGTGTATACCCATTCTTCATTTATTCAGATTTCCTACAATAAATATATTCACCACTCACTATAAGCTAAGGACAAAAATATTTTAAGGTAATTAATGTGTGTTCTGTATATGCATTTTTAAGACAGCTCTATTGCTCACTTAACATATGATAGTGTAAATATGTTATCAGGCTTTTATATGCATTTGAAAGTGATAAAAAGACTATGATTCATTTTACAGCAATTTTTGCTTTACAGCAGTAGTCAGGAACCTAACCTGCTGTATAATCGGGGCCCTCCTGTAGTTGGTTCACATTACTTATGGAAAAGTAAATGCAGATAATTTATAAGTATGTGTTAGGTGTAGTCAGATGCACACCTTTAATAAATCAACCCCCTCAAAGAAAGTGCTTTGATGCTGGTGAGAGGGCTTTGGTCCAAGGAATTGGAATTGTCATACCATTCCTTGGATTAACCCTATTTGCCCAGGGACTATATGATCTCTAAAGGTTTTTAGTACTTCCCCCAATAATAATTTAGTGAGTAAAGTTTGAAACATTGGAGTTTAGATTTTACATTTTTTTTTACCCTCCTGGCCCTTGGCTGGCTGTTTTATCTTCTTTTGACTAAACAGTGACCAGCCATAATGAAACATGTATATTTTCTGCATATTTGTTTTATCCAAGAATTATGCTGCAATCTTCAAAGAAGTGCAGTGTGTTTTACTTTCAGGAAAATAAAGTTAATTAAGGATTTAGAGTGGATTAGTAAGCTTGCAGGAGGTCTTTTTCAAATAACCAAAAGCTCTACCGAGATGGTTATGTGACTAAGACCAACTTTTAGTAGGTGGTCATAGCATGAGTCATCAATTCTGCTGTATCTTGCTAATGTTTATTATTTTACATACATCCTAATAAAATAATCTTCACAGGGGTAACCATTAATTGTACAGACTTGGAATTTACCAGAAAATTTGTGGCTTCTTGTGATCCAGCATATAGAGATACCCTTGGGCTGTAGGTAACAATAGCCTGACTGATCAGGCAGTCATCAGGGAAGTCTGGCCACATGTCAGGCTCTGGGAGTAGAACTTCCAAAACAGTTTACAGGTATGTACCTTACTACATTTATTTTTATTCAAAACTCTGTGATTTTTCTTAGGCAAAAATTTTCAGTGATACAACAGGTGTACTATTAATACAACTGCTGATTACAGAATTATTGGAAGGGTGTTTATCAGTTGAGTTGTCAACATTATAGTTTGATATCAAATGGTATTTATACACAATCCATGTACTTTAGCATGATATATATATTTAACCAAATTGAAAGTAATTATGAGAACTTTCATGGGGAGTGATGTCAGAATTGTAAAGAACTATGTAGTTCCATGCCACATGATACTGTAGTGGTTTTAATCAAAACTATGACTGTCAAGCATTTCACAGTTTATATTTTTATATGTTAATACTGTATGAATATAGTAGTACCTTATATATGATATACATTAAAATTCACTTGATCGTTTTATTGGAGAATG